GAGGGTAATTTTTTTTTGTCCACTTTTTAGTTAGGATTTAGGAATGCTTTAAACATGGTTGATAGCTTCGCATCTTTGATTAATCACTACATTGCCGTTGGTGATGAGAGATTAAGATCAAATACTGTATATTGACTTGATAATCTTTTCCAATATCAAGTTAGGTTAAGATCATACAGGTGTAAATCTCTTCCAACATTAATATTTTTTTTTTATGCACAGGACTCAAACTCAAATCCTTACTTCATGAGAACGAGTATCAAATCACTTGAAATGTCTGGTATTTGGTCAATAGTGTGATTCTTTTTTATTCTTAGGATTTGAGTATGAGCATTTGTTTAAGAAGAGTTGAATTGTCATCACAACTCCGGTCAAAAGGTCACTTCTTAGTTACTTTCCCATTTGAAATTATGAGAAAGTTGTGACAAAATTATATATACTAATAAAATTTAATAATAACACTTTACAAATTTTTTTAAAAGTAAAAGTATAAACTTATAAAAATATCATTTATTTAATATAATTTTAAATTTATAATTATTTTAATTTTTTCTCCACTTAAAAGTAATATTATTGGAAAAGCATCATTAATGAAATTTTATTTTTGTCAAATTATTTTAAATTTTAGGACAATAAAACAACTTTATAATTGTTTTGTAATTTGAAATAGAGATAATATATACTCCCTTCGTTTAAAAATGTAAGGTATTTTTGACTGAATCTCACCTCCAATAAAGTGGTTATTTACTTTTAAACTAACCCTATCTTTTCATATTTACTGCTATTAAACACCCTATAATAAATATAAAGTCACTATTAATAGGGGCATTTTTGAAAAAAAAAATAATTACACCTCAAAAGATTAAAAATACCTTATATTTTTAAACATCTAACTTCTTAAAAAAATATTTTATACTTTTAAACAGAGGGAGTAATAAAAAGTCCGATTTAAAGACTAATTCAAGAGGATGGCGTTTGAAAAATAAACTTATGAAACACTTAACTTTTGAAAACCACAAGCGAACATTATTTTTAAAATACAAAAATTGTAAATCTACTTTAAAAAAATACAAGGAAAAAGAAAGATAGAATGGGATATTTGAAAATTGAAACCAAAAGGGCGCACACAAAACTGTACACAGAAGCAGAGATGCCAAAGAAAGGTAAGTGGGGTAGCAATATGGCGAAAAAAAATTGTGAGTGCCAACGACACACACACACAATAAGATGGACCTGATTTCAACACTGACCAATGTCAAATAATATAAATAAAAGCACTCTGCATAAAGCAGAGACCAAAACTTTATCATCTTTTCTCCTTCTCTCTGCTTCTAAAAGGAAAAAAGTTCATGAGAGTGGACAAACAATTAATGATTTGATATTGGAGGATCTTAAAAGCTACCACAAGCACTCTCACACCACAGACCTTATGGGAAAGCCTTATTGGACTCACGCTTTCTCTTTTCTTCATCATGAAGACTACTAATCAATATCCTGTTTCACCAAATATGTTTGACATGGATAAGCACAGTTTGGACTCTTTTAAAATTATTTTAGTATTTAATTTTTAAAAGTGTGTGTAAAGAGCATCACTTGAAAAGAACAACTTCTTAAATGGTGCTTGAATTTTTAAAGAATTAGTTTTATAAGTGTGAAATGTAAAAATATCTTAAATAATTAAAAACAAAAATCAATAGTGTGTTTCAAAAAGTTGAGTGCCCCTAATCATCGAATCAAATATATTTTGTCCTCCTTACATTCCCCCAGCACTGACCGATCTCTGTTAATATATTCACATGGAGGGCCTCCAGCTTAATCAACATCAATGTTCAATCCCATGAAAATGTGTCAATAATTCATTTCTAACAAACAAGCAAGAACCTGTTTTGTGATTGTCGAGGTAGGCTGTTGGGGTTTATGCCATGACTAGCTAGCTAGCTCTGATATGATATGATGTTCAATTCTCTGTTCACAAGTCAGAGGAACTTGAAATGAATGTAGGGTTTGAGGGACAGGGGATGCTTTTCACAATAATGGGAGGGAGTTTTCTTGTAGATAAGATTGAATACCTTCTCACTACCGTCTATATAGTTCTATTTACAATGCAAATTTTTTTTTTTAATCTTATCTATAAGTTATGTGTAGGTTATATTATAAAATTTTATTATAATTTTTTTTCATTAAATATAGATGAGAGAAATTATATTATTAAAGTATGTATATTTTTTTATTTTTTTACTATGAGACATCTTTTAAAAGAATTTTTTTTTGTTTTCAATATAAGGCAGTTGGTAATGTATTAATTACGTTTTTTTTCAATATTATCTCAATTTAAATTCATTAATTATGAAAGAAAATATAATGTAAATTTAAAATTTTTTTATTCAAATAGTCATAAAATTGAAAGTTTATTATTATTTTCAAATGAAGTTAATAACTTAACTATCCCTCTTTAGTTTCGATAAGATAAGATAGCTAGATATATTTTATAATAAAGACCGGATTAAATTTTTAAATAAAACTAATGAGTTTTGATATTTTTTTTAATTCTGATAAATTATGTTGAAGGTGACTAAAAATAAGATAAAAAAAAAGAAAAGTAGTGATGTATTGAATGAAAAATTGATGACGTGCTGAACAATATCACGTTTGCAAATTATGGACCACATTTTGAAGGAAATTTAAGAAGGGGGCTGCTTAGCCCAGCTTCTTTCTTGGGTTGTGTCTGTCTGTATTGACGACTACCCCTGCGAAAGGGCATGAAGATAATAGCTATAGTTGAATTCAATCACAGGACCCTCAAGTAATGGCCTATTCATCTCTACACTGTTTCACGTTCATGTAGCCAACAAGAAAGTTTCAGATACTTGATGAGTTAGTAGCAACCAGAACTTTATTTCAAGTCATCCACGTCTTTGAGGATTGCGATAAGTTCTTGACTGATAATGTTGCTCTCAAAAAGGGTGCTTCAAACTTGAGTACAGCTGAGTTCCTTAATTCCTTTTTAGGATTTGTATGTGATAATATAATATTTCTCCTGTATTCCTATGATCCTATCTATAGGAAAAAGAAAGAAAATACTTATTTTGATTTTATTTATAAAGTATCTTAATAATTATTGTGTGTATTTTTACTCTCTTATCCCTATTAAATGTTAAAAATGTTATCAAATATTAAAGTATTTTATTTTTAAAATATATATATATATATATATTTAATTGAGATAAAGTTTAAAACTTGATGAATTTTTAAATAAAATTGATGATTTTAATGTTTACCTTGGTTTGATAAAAGTGATTTATAAGCAGAATTAAAGGGATTACTTAATAAAAATTATCATGTCATCAAGTGAATTTGGATCCAGTGGCCTAAATTCATTCACTCGATAAGTGTCTTACATGACATTATAATAATTATTTAATTTAATTTAATGGTTATAAGAGATTTTATCATATAATACTAAAAAAAATGTTAACTTTCAAATTTTTAAAGGAGTTAGTATATGTGAGAAGTACTCTAATCGTAATGATTGATGTGAATTTTTGAAAGAAAATACATTTTGATAACAGTCAAGCATTGATAAAATCTAATAATAACTGTAATTGAAACACAAACACTCATTAAGTAAATAAACTTGAGCCACTCACCAAATTCAACTAATGGTCAACTTATGTCATAGGCCAAACTGTAAAAGTCACACATTATACTGATTAGTGCGTGAAAGGGTAGCATACATTTTTTGAGGTGGCACTTCAATGGATAAAAGCATTTTACATAATCCACTCGTGAAACATTTTTATGAATTCATCATACAATTGACAATTACTATACATTAAAAACAATTTTTTCAAGAATTTAATTTTGAAGATATTGTGTATTTGGGGTTTGGTCAGAGATTGTCGCATAAAATTGTGCGTTAAAAGTAAAGTGCGGGTATGTTCATGGCAAAAAATGCAGTGAAATCTTAGTCAGGGTACAACCATGAGACTTCTTATTTCTGTCATTTTTAAGAGAAACATCCATTCTTAAAAATGTGTTAATGAGGGTTTTGATGGAATTTTCACTTTTCTTTTCGCAACTAAATGTGTTAAAAATGATGGAATATTTCTTCTTCTTCTTTCGTTGTTTTTCCCCCACAACTCCCGGCCAATCTGTTTCTTGCAACCAAATGGTGCAAAATAACTTTCATCAAATCACAAAAACCTGGGCTTCATGGACCAAGATTTTTTGTTTTGTATCAAAAGAAAATCGCACAAGCCTGGGCTTCCTGGACCCAAAAGGCAGATGTAAGTGTTGGGCTTGGCAGGATAACCCTGTTTTGAACCTGAGCATGCTTAACTTCTAGTGAGAATGCATACCCAAAAAACCAAAAAAAAAAAAATCAAAACTTCTAGTGAGAAACTGACAGATTAGTTTGGTCGGTAAAAATTTGATTTATAACCTACAAAATTATGAGATCAAATTTTACTATTAATAACCTTATTAGTAAGTAATTTATAAATACTTTTATAAACATTCTTTGAGCCAAAGACATGCTTTAATCTTGATAAATCTTCAAAACTCACCTAAACTTTTTATTATAAAAAAAAACTTCTAGAAAAAATGACAGTCAAGTATTAAAAAAGGGATTTTTTTTCCAACTAAAAACAAGAAATTAATGACAATTAAGTTCTCAATATTTTTTTGAAAAAGTAAATTATAAATATAATTTAGACAATTATAAACAATAATGTCATCTACAAACTAAGATTTTCATTTAAAATTTAAATGTCTTATTTATAATTAAAATTTCTGAATTTGCAATTAATTAAATCGATATTTGCAACTGCCTTTTCAAATAAATTTATAGGGAACTTAACTATCACTAATTCTTTATTTTGTAACTTAAACTATCATTCTCCCTAACTTCCAATCAATGGGTCATGTACTATGGAGACCCAAAAAGGAGAGAGATTGAAAACTTAGAAGCTATTTTTTCCCCGCCGGCCCAAAAAAGAAAAAAAGAAAAAAGAGGAAGCTTCTTTTCCCCTTTTCCAACTACACACATAAATTTACTCGTAAATTGCAGAGGCCAGAGGTTTGCAAAAACTTCAGCGCAAAATTTTCAACAGAGATTTCATTGATTACATATGTACATGGTTTCACACCACATTGCCCAAATGGGACTTGCCAAAGCCCACAAACATAAAGGATTTGGCAAATCACATACATTGTGTATCTTCCTGGTGCTGCATTTCATCCATTTCTTATTCTTTCCTCTTGGTCCAAAGCAATACAAGAGCGAATCCCATCAGAGACATAATTACAGTCTGCAAGCAACATTAGCTAGTTACATTGCAGCAGACTAAGGAATTAGAATGCTCAGAAGCCAGATTAATTTTCTTGGCAATATGGACATTATCCTTGTTAATATTAATAACCCCTTTTTTTTAGTTATACTTTTAATTTGGTACGGGCAACAGAATCATTTCTATTGACATTCTTATTTCTTTTTAAACAACAATACACTTCTCGAGCGTGCCCTATACAGTAAGATAAATCTCGGCTTTTTATTTTGCACCATAATGAAGCAATCAGCCTTGCTGCTATGCTTCAGTAAAATGCTTGTAGAAGATACAAGACATGATAGCATACAAATTCACACAGCACAAGAAAATTAAAAAAAGAAAAAAAAAAAGAAATATTAAAGCAGCCACCTGATGCTAGCCTGAATGACAAGAGTGAGATGGAAAGTGGAGTGGGTAAAGGCTTACAGATAGTGTTCAAACCAAGAGAGAGAGAGAAGTTGGACGTTATATTTTATGTTTGCTAAGTGCTGACACATCTGAGTAGGATTAAAGAGCATGAAAGAGTAAAAGGCTTACAGATATTGCAGGAGGCACGCTCACAATCGGATCAGGGAAAAACCGATTAGCAAGAGCCAAGGCAAGGAGGCTACTCTGCATTCCTGCCATTGGATAAAGTAAAGTAGCTCTGTTAATTTAAATTACTCCTGACAATTTACAAATAAGAGAAAAATTATACCTGTCTCAAAGGAAATTGTCCTCTGCAGTGCCTTCACATCAGGAGCATTGTGGAAGAGAAGTCCACTAAACATATAACCAGCTACAAAAGCTGATGTATGAAAAGCAACAAGAAGCAACAAGATAGTAACTCCAAAGGGAGACTTAACCGACTCAATATTGATAGCAAGGGGCGCTCCAACACAGAGAGCTGTTACCAGAACTGATAGTGGAGGCAAAAATGGTCGTACAGCATTGCACAAATGAGGAAAGAAGCTGTAAAGACAAATGTGCAAGAAAGCTATAAACTTAATAAGGAAATGATATTACATAAAAAAATAAGAATTGATGATTCTAAAAACTCGTCTGGATTTTAAGCATTACCGATTCAGAAGCAAGCCTGAAGCAATTGGTGTCACCACAATCTGCATGATGCTAGATACCATTCTTTTACATCCACAGGCAATCTCTTTCCAATGAGCAATAATGATAAGAGTGGAGTGACAAAAACTGCTGAAGCAGTAGACAACGATGTCATGACTATGCTTAATGGTGCCATTGGTGGGTCCGTTAGAAAAGTTGCATAATTGGAGAGCTGTGCCCCGCTAACACAAGACACCAGCATAATTCCAGCTCCTGATTCAATTTGCACCCAAATTTAGAAATTGTATCCTATCAGTTCGTTATATAGATGATGCATTATCCTCACCTACTGCTGTTGGCAAACCAAATACAGTTACTGACAGTATGCCAAATAGATAGCCGAGAAAAGGCTTCACAGCAAATTGGCCAAGATAACCAGCAACTATTGCTCCTGGCCTGTTTAATGCTTCAAGGAAGTCCTTTTCACTTGAATTAACCCCTACTGCAAACATCAAAAACCCTAGTGCAGGTGCATAATATCTGAAAATAAATCACATAAGAGTTTAATCTAAGGTTGAAATCACTTCAAAAGAAGTCAATTGGCTACAATGCATTTACGAGTCTGGGTATTAGCAGTTTGCACCATTATATTGGTTATTGCATTTGCAGTATAAAGAGATAAGGCATAAAAATCAAGATGAAAACAAACTATTTCTGATTACTTTTCCCCTTTTAGTACCCATTTTGGCTGAAAAAGTATTAAATTCATACAATTAAAAGCAATACTACCAAATATGCAGAACAAAAACAAGCTCACCATGGTTCTTTATAGAGACAAAGAAAACAAATTTAAACTTTCTGGAGTGAGTTTCATCGGCCAACCTTCCAAGAACAAATAAAAGGATAAGAAGATAAAACAGAATGGCATTTACTTGAGCTTTTGCTGATGCAATTATCTGACTAGCCAATACTTCAATTTTTTTTAAAAAAAGAAAAAATGCAACCAACTATGCAGTATATTATTATACATCTTATGATCAAATCTTTCATCCAGAGGATTTACTAACCTGCTGGTAAACCATGTGAAAGAAGGTGGGTAGACTAGAGCAAGCAGTGTACTAGCAAGGACTACATGAGGCAAAAGAGAATTTGATTCCTTCAGAATCTTTAGAATTCCTGTTTGTTGCTCCACAATCTGAGAAAAGAAACGCAATAACCAAAAAGAAAACTGATTGGTGCTACATCGATTTCGCTTATATGTATGACACAGACATCAAAACTAAACCTTTATTACAGAAAGAAGCATGTATAATATATTCTTAACCAAAGATCTTTCCTTTTCTTTCTAATAATGCAATCTTCATGGAGAACCTTAAAACAATATAACAGCAAAAATTAATATTATAACACCACCATTTCCAGCATATGCATATGTGTTGGTGAGAGTATTTATCAACTTGTAAAAAGACTTAAACCTATATGATAAAGTACTAAATGCAAAATGAACATAATCTTTAACTGCATAAATTATACTCATAACACTCGTAAAAAACAAACACGTAATAAAAACTTACACTATCCACAATATTCAAAATATTATTCTCTATCCCCTGTTAGATATTTTTTTCTAAATTAACTCACGTTTGTCTTCAAATAGTCACATAATTAAAAAAAAAAAAAAGAGGGAACAGTGAATCTCCCTCTCCTATACCGGAAATATGATATATAAGCTGCAAATTGACAAAGCAAGCGGATCGAGCATTCACGAGTAAAGGAAAGTAAGTAGAATATTGTCGCGCTCGTCCAGAGAGTGATTTGGTGCTAAGTCCATCGGCTTAAATACTCACAGCGAATGGGATGCACGTGCAGCAAGCAGAAGGTGAGTACTTACAGAAGGCGGGTCGGAATAGTAACCCGATGATGAATCGGATTCAAGGGAAGCCGAACACTTGAGCTGTGGACTCCTGAGGGGAAGCTTGGGACTCCATACTGAAAACCAAACGCAGCAACAACACAGAATGAAAAAGCAGATACAGAAAGAAATAGCGAAACCAAACGCAGACACAGAATTGTCGTACAAGGGTGTAGGGTAGGACGGTGACGCAGAGTGGGGAGACGCGTGGAAGAAGACAGAGTTCCATTTCGCAGCGAAATTGAGAGGCGAGGTTTTGTGAAGTGCAACAACCGTATGAGATTAAAACCACTCTGAATTGGCCACTGATGTATTGGAAGATTTGTGTTCACTCCTGTCCTTGCCATGTCGTTTCGGCGGCGGAACAACACCTCCAAAGCCCAAAACTATTTTCTTCTGTTCTGCTCTGTCGACGTTGAGTCGTTGACCAATTGTCTCACAAATTTAATAATTTTATTTTCCTAACTTTGGCAATTGAATATAAAATATTTTTAATTAAATTTTATTTTTTAATAAAATAATTATTTATTTTTTAATTAATTATATATTTTCATATTTATTCTTATTAAATATCCTATAATAAATATAAAATTATTATCAATAATGACACTTTTAAAAAAAGATAATAATTATATTTAAAAGATTAAAAATATATTACATTTTTTAACATTCAACTTCTCAAAAAATATTTTATATTCTTAAACGGAAGGAGTAATGATTAGTAGTTTATAATTTCTATTGTCTTTCATTCCATCCTCCTAAGAAAGTAGTTTATTTACGTTTTTCTAATTAAAAAACCACTTATCTTTTTTAAAATAAGGCATGCCATGTATCAACGAACAATTAAATATTTAAATTTTTTAAAATTGGGTAACATTGTAACATGAGAAAATGAAAATAAAACTCTTTTAAATTATATAAATGATAATTTAATTTCTTAAAATATTATAATTTTGCTAAAATCTCTAAAAACTTCTATGTTAATAAATTTTAAATCAAAAAAATTATTTTACCCTTAATGATAAATTATAATTCATTGTTCAATGATCATGATTCTTTGAATAAAAGTTATTATTTTTTAAACAAAAGTTGTAATTACATCTTGTTATTTTAAGAACATATTTTTCAATAAGAAAAATTACACTTAACAAGTTGCCATTTCTTATTCATCTCTCATGATTTATAAAATAAAAATTATTATTTTTTAAGCAAAAATTGTTATTAGAGCTTATTATTTTTAGACAAAAATTACACTTAAAAAGTCATGATTTTTTGTTCAATTTTTGTGATTTATAAAATAAAAGTTATTATTTCTTAAATAAAAGTTATAATTGGGGGCACTAGAACAGAAAAGATTTTTTATATCGGTTAAAAAAAGCTTTTTACATCAATTATAAAGGCGATATTGATATAGAAAATGTAAAAAATTAAGTACTTTTTACATCGATTATACAACTGATGTAGAAAATAACTTTTTTACATTGGTTCTACAACTAAGGTGGAAAGTACAACAACAAAAAAAAGAATACACCGGTTAATTTATTAATGTTTACATCGATTTTTGTTTAACTGATGTCAAAGGTGAAAAATTAACTATTTATACTATAAAAATGTCACCACCTTGCCTTTTAATATCGTTTGCCTTTCAACCGATACAAAAGGTCACATGAAATTACAAAATTTGTACTAGTGGGGGCTTGTTATTTTTAATAAAGGTAAAATAATTTTTTCATTTTAAAATTTATTGACATAAAAATTTCTAAGGATTTTAATAAAATTATAACATTTTAAAAAATTAAATTATTATTTATATAATTTGAGAGATTTTATTATTATTTTTTTTATAACATTGTACTACATTGTTAGTTAAGCCATTTAACAGAGAAATTAAAATTTCCAAGTTTTCACATTACCCTCTTCTTCTTGATAGTATTACAAAAGAATACGCCTCAAGCCACTTTGTTTAACCCATTATCAATTATTTTGAACATAAATAGATGTCAATTTTTTGTCCATGTATATGCTCTTTTATTCAAATATTCTTTTTGATACAATATATAATTATGATTCATCATATCAAATTTTATATTATTTATATATTTTTTCAAAAAATCAAGATTTATATAATAAAAATTATAAATCATAAAATTTATGTTCTTTTTTAGTAATCACACATTTAAAAGTATTTCTTATTGTACATATATCATCTAAACTATTTTTAGTTTACCAAAACATCTTTTAAAAATTGCATTTAAACTTAAATAGACATTTTACAAATGATGTTTTACCAAATGAACTTTTAATAAATAAATTTTTATCAAATTAAAAACAAATATATCTTATTTTATAACAAGTTTTAGTTTGCTAAACTAATTTTTTTAAAAGCATTCAATTTAAATATAAATCACATTACATGTAATTTTCAAACATATGCAAAAATTTTCAAATCCTATTTGGTTAAAAGCATTTAAATTTCGAGTTTCATGCTTTTAGTTTTGTTTGAGTCCATTCTTACCAAATTAGAAATTGTTCACGCATTACATCATCTTAGGTTTAACTTGAGTAACTATAGTTGGCAGAGTTGGCCTAGGTTGTCTTTAAATTAAAGTGTCCTAGGTTTAGTTTATGACTTTGATAACTCCTCGGATTATTTCTACACTCTTGTCTTCCAATGTCATCCATTTCAATTACATGATTCACAATTATTATATTTCTAGCTTGGGAGAATTAATTACTTGACACGTGTACACAATATAATTTAATGATTGCATTATTGATTTTAGGTCATGAAACGTACAAGTGATGGGCGGGATGCACGAGATTGGGACCTTTGACCGGCTAAACCATGATCACCGGTCAAGACTACAAGTTCTAAAACAAGGGAAGCTTCTGGACAAGCTAGTCAATTTACCCATTCCTATTTTCATTTCTTTTTCCATTTTTAATTTTTCCATTGCATAATTTGCCATGTATCATGCGGACATGTATGATGTTTTTATTTTGTTTTATGATTTCATTTTAGCATTGCAATCAGAATTTCCACTTGGATTCGAAATCTAGGAGCCTTTCATCATTATGTGTTCATGCATATATAATCATCCATCCATTAAAAATGTCACAATAATGAGACTCTCTCACATGCACGTCACTCTAGAGCACATAGTTTGCTAACACAATCCTACACAAAATAAGGCACAATTTCATTAAAAAAAAAAACACTCATATTCATATACGGAATTTCATCCCACTACAATCAATTTTATTTGCAATAGTTTTAAAACTATTGCCTAATATGGGTACGTACAATTTTTTTGTATGTTACTATTAATCCTCTTTTTTTAAGCAATATATTTTTAGCAACATTTGAAAACTATTCCCTAAACTAGAATAAACAACAATTTTTAAATGTTAAAATAAAATTTTTAAATAGGCAACATGTAAATTGTTGCTTGTAGGGTTCTTTTATGGACAAATTTTAAAACTGTTTCTTATTTCAATACGCAACAAAAAATATAAATATTGTCTATAAATCTTCTTCCTAGAAACATTTAAGAATTGTTACTTTTTTTACATATAAAAATTTATTTTAATTTATTTTTGTAAGTTTTCTATATACTTTTATTTATTTATTCTCTTAATTTTTCAATTTATTATTTGGATAAATTTAAAAATAATTTAACAATTATTATATATATACATAAATAATATGTTGCATCATAATGTCAAAAAGTCATATTAGAAAAGTATTTAGAGTCATCCCTTGTTGTTTAGGGTTTGAATCTTAGATGGGAAAGGAAATATTAAATTTGGCTATTTAATTATTTCATAATTCTTAAATGTTGCATATTCTATGTGACAAGCAACATTTCAAAACTATTTCTATAAGTCTCTAAAAACCTGTTGCCAGTTTTAATAGTTTTAGACAATAATGATTCAAATTGTGTGACCAAAAATAAGAAACTGTTACCCAAAGCATTAGGCAACATTTAAGTTAGAAACACTTGAAAACTATTTTCAATAGTTTTCAAGTCTTTGGCAACATTTTTGAATTGTTCCTAGATAATAAAAATGTTGCAATGCCCTCTCCAAGACACATTCCATGTTTCAGATTTCTCTCATTCTCTCTCCATCTTTAACCCCTCTCTTTCTCCCCTCTCCATAACTCATTCATCTCTCACTTTGATCCAAACCTAAAGCAATCATTCTATTGCTCTTGAAGTCTAAAATCATATCCTTGCAAGTTTCATCTTCTTTGGCTTCCATTTGGCTTGGGTGATTCTTGGAGGAATTTGTGCACAATGACCAAGGCTTTCAAGTAGAGTGAAGAAGCTTGGATGAGGATTATAAGGCATGGTTGAACCATTCCTCTACCTAGATGATGACCTCCGCTTATGATTTATAGATTCCTAAGCATTTCTCCCCTACTTCTTTAGTTTCTAGGTTTAATTCGATTTCAATTGATTATTATGACATGTTATTAAATCTTGAAATGTTGGTTAATTTTGATCATGAATGGAAGTAGATTGCTAGTTTGGATGATCTGTAGTGTGATGGAATTTTATTGATTAATTCAATCCTTCTTGCTTTGATAATTGAATGTCAAGATCAAACTATACAACTAAAGCCATTACCACTTTAAAAGCATCTTTAGTGAATATCGAGAGAAGTCTTTGTGTAATCAATACTTTCTTTCTGGTTGTAGCCTTTAGTTATAAGTTTGGCTTTGTATCTATCAATTTCACCTATAGCTCCTTATTTTATTTTAAAGATCTACTTGCAACCCACTAGTTTAAAACCTTTTGGTAGCTCTACAAGCTCCCATACATGATTGTGGTACATAAAGGCAATTTCTTCACTCATGGCTTCTAACCATTTAGAAGAATGCGTGCTAGAAATAGCTTCTTGATAAGATATTAGGTCTAAAATATCAATAACATCTGAATCAAATTCCTGCAAATATATTATATAATCACTAGGAATAGCATACCTACGAACCCTTTGGGACCGTCTTGGTTCAACAACTGATCCTTATCACCCTCTAAAAGTGGTTCATCTTCAACTTCATCCTAATCTACGACATTATTTCTTTTAATATGAGGGTTTGTCATGGTAGGTGTCACACCTGCCACTCAATGCAATGGCTTGTTCATCGTGAGGTTAAAGAGGAAGGGAGCCGACCTTCATGCAAGTACCAGTCTTGAAGAATGGAGTTGCCACTGAGATTTTAAGAAAAAATATTAGAAAACCAACTAAAAGTGATAAGGATAGTCTTCATAATTAAAAATATGTTCGGGAGTCAATTGTGAGTGGGGAAGGTTTTATGCACCCTACAACATCCATTTTATAGAACGGTTACCTTAATTAATTGTGCAATTAATATGGCCTTTTAAAATTATTTTAACTACTCTTTTTAT